TAGGGAGCCAAACAGTGCTCATTCATACAGCTCAAAACTGGACTGACCACTTCCTCCTTAAGCACAGCTCTCATTTTGGCTGTAGAGAACAATGAAAGTGCCTATTAAAACCCAGCAAGAAGAGAGGACTCTATAATAAGGAAAACCTTACAGCACTACATTTGAACTTTTGGCCTGCATTTCTGCAAAGAGGTGAAGCTGTTTTTCCCTGACCATTGAAACCCTGATTTCTCTTTCCTTTTAACTATAATGGCACCACACCGGTATACCTTCCCCTTGGTCCTGTTACGATCCCACCCAGTACGCCACGTGTGATGTGTAGTTTCCCACTAGAAACACTCTTTTCCCTGAAGCACACGCACTAAAGAGATGCAGAGGTGTTCTCCGTCGTCGCCTACTGGCTTTTTATGCAGAATTAGAAATGGAGAGAAAAAACGTTAAGAACTGGGATTTGGAGCTCTCTGGCCCCATTAGCATGCAAAACCATTTTAAAAACCTACAGTGATGTAACTATGATGTAGGCAAACTTCCCAGAAAAGTATTTTCCATTCTCACCCCTTTTATACTCTAATTGTAAGCCAGAATTTGGAAACAGTGATTTAACGCCAACATAAAACCAGGATATACAGGCATACCTGGTTTTACTGCACTTCTGTTTATGGTGCGTCAGAGCTGTTGTGTTTTTTACAAATTGAAGGCAAGACCCTCCACCAGCCACAAGACTCTGACCCGCCTAACTGTGACACTGGCTGTATTGCGGGGGTCTGGAACTGAACCCACAGTCTCCAAGGTGTGCCTGTGTCTCATGTGCCTTTAGAGCTGAGTCCTGACGATATGGGCTGTTGGCCAGTTTTTCAGGATGTTGTTAGGCACCATTTTCTGAACCAGTGGTTTGCCTGTGAATTCTGAAACTATTTTAGGTGTCAAGGCATATGTGTTCCCTCTTCTTTTGGCTCTTCTAAATGCAGAGTGTGGCAGCTGCTGTGAATAGTCACAATCCAGCCGCTGTGTTGCCTATGGCCGTGTTTAGGAGAAAGTTCCCCATGTAAAAGTCAAGAAAGCAACAGAGCCAGAGTGGGTCCTTAGGGGTGGCCCCGAGGCCACAGAAGAAGATAAGCACTGCTTGTCTCAAGGGGGAGAAATCAGTTTCAAGAAGGGCCACGTGTTGGCATGTATTTTAAAGTAGCCCTAAGAATATTAACAGCTGAGATGTTATATTGTCCTGAGGTTGCTGGGAGTTATGGTCTTCTCACCATCTGTGGTTCCACATCTGGAGAACAGCTTCAAGGACCCATAAGTTCAGAAAGACGCCTCAGGCTGGAAGGTGGCATGCCTGTTACAGAGCTAGGCAATATATATATATATATGTTTTTTTATTTTATTTTATTTATTTATTTATTTTCAAATACTAAAAGTACAATATGCCTATATAATGCCCCATTATATGGGTTAAGTGCACATTTCATGAGCCTCTCTTCACTGGGTGAGGTTCCGGTAAGTACAGTTCTTTATGTCTGCTGGGGAAGTGCATGGTTGAGGAGCGTTCTTCTGTGCCAGCCTCTGATTATTAGTACATGCTTTATGCAGGGGTTGTTGGGTGACAGGCACATAGCATTTAAGAAATAAAGGAAAATGAACCAGCCCGCTCACTAATCCTTGAAGCCATGCCTCTTTCTAATACTCAGGACTCCCTGCCTAAGTTGTTATGGGATATAGATCTGATCAAAGCCACGGACAAGCACAGTCCCCACAGCCCCCAGGAAAGTCAGAGAACACACAGAGGGTAAGGGAGAAAGTTGTTTGCTTTCAACTGCCTCAAAACATGACTTATTTTTTTTTTGTGCTAAAGCAGAACCTTTTGATTCTCTTTGGTAATCTAGGGAATAAGAGTGTACAGATTATTTTTTTTTTTTAAAGATTCCCACTATCCTTACAGATTAGAAAGTTCACCATTGGAAACTGTGGGAACTAGAGATAGAAGAAAGGTTGAAGCAAGATAACCATCTGCCTAGAGGTATTTTATTTCAGAGGCAGCTTTGAGACAAAAATGCATGTTAGGAGAGGTTGAAAATGGAAAGAGGGGCTGAAATTATAGACTATTAGCGCTGGAAGGGGCCTTCACGGTGATGCCATCTGGGCAGTTTTTAAATGAGGAAAGTCGGAGGTGGTGGGGTAGGTCAACCGCTAGTTACAGGTTCATCCCACTGTCTGCCCTCAGCTCAGAGCAGGCAGAAAGGGACATGCTGGAGGCATCAAGGAGAGCCCTACAAGGAAGGCAAGGGGAACAAAGCAATAAGGATTGGGAAATAAACACAAGGCTTACAGAGGGGACTTAGCTGAGGACCTGATTTGTAGAACCCCACCCCCTCCCCCCGGCCGCTGGACTAGGGACCAGGAGTCCTGACCGTAGGCAGGCTGTCCCTGTCACTGGAGGCTCAGATTAAGCATTGTCTGGGGATTCACACTCCACTTTCTCCCCTCATCCCCTATCTCCTGTGTATTGATTGATAATGTATTGAGAATCCAACAGCTCGATGGGGTTGGGCTTTGGCTTTCGAGAATGCAGAAAGGCCAAGAAATGGACATGGTTCCGCCCGGCCACTCTCTGGCTCATCACCTGGGGGATTGGTAGCTGAGGCTTGGTTTCCTTTGAGAGCCCCATATATAAGGGGTCTTGCTACTCTTCCCTTTTGTAGCCTGTGCTGCGAGAGGAAGGAGGGGAGGGAGTGTCGCCGCTCTAGCCTTCATCTGTTCTCCTGTGTTGGACCAGCCCTTGGGAGGAGCAAAGCTTCTTCCTGGGAGAATGGGGTGGTGGACCTATGGACTCCAGGGTTTCAGAGCCTGGTGATGTCACCTGCAGTTAGGACCTCCCCTCTGGCTGGCTGTTTCTTGCACGCCCCCATTCTGACCGTTGAGAGGAGAGTACATGGGCGTGTGAAGCTGACTGGTCCTAACTGCACCACTGCTGCTTGATTTATAATTAACCTGGGCCTCCTGGTAAATCACTCATTCAGCCTTGCTGGCAGGCGCCCTGCCTGTCATTAGCCAGGGGGTGAGGCGGAAAGGAAAACTTGTTCCGATCTTAAACCCCTGGAAGGCTTGAGTGACTGCCTACTGCAGACGCAGGAACATGCGAAGCCTCCTGCTTCCTTCTGGGTCTGGTGAGAGATGGTGGAGCCAGGGAGGGTGTTGATGTGGGGGGCCTGACAGCCTCCCTCCGCTGCACAGGGGTTTTCTTTGCACGGACCTGTTGGTTCCCGGCTCCAGTGTTCAACAACCTGTGCGCACCAACTTTGTCTTCTATGAGCTTTGCGTTCAGGTTGTCCTGGGCAGGAGGAGCCCTGCTGCCACACACTGTTGGTGTGTGTCTGAGTGTCAGTGAGGCTGGAGCATGGATGTCAGTGCTTGCCCTGCCTCGGGCAAGGCGAGCCCTGAGGACACGGTCATTCACTTTGCTCCCAAGAGGGTCCCTCCTCCCTATGGAGCTCCTGAGTAAGGAGACCCACTGTTGATCTAAGGGGCTTGGTCCATTGTTTGTCCTGGGGGGGCCATTCTGTCCCCACTTTGGTTGGAGAAAACAGACAAGGACTCACTGTGGGCATACGAGGTTATTAACTATTCAGGAGCAGCCCTAGAAAGGTCATGTGCATCTGAGCGAGGTGACCCAAAACTAATAATTTGCTTCCTTTGTGGCCTTTCACTACTTGCTCAGGCCTATGTGTTTGCTGTATCGCTTTCATTCTAGACATTCTGCTAAGGTGGGGAGGGGTACAGGGCACACTGAACTAAATGAGGGGTGCACATCCTAAGTACCTATTCCCTTGAATCTAAGACCCATACTTCTTTTATATTTTAACCTTCAGGATTATAGGGTGCATTTTACAGCCTACGAATACAGTTAGTGTTTTCTTTTATCCCTTTAAAAGCTGTTATTAAAATAGTGTGTACATCTTCCAGTCTGTTCTTAAAATGAAAGAAATGAATATCATTTCAATTTGCCCTTTCCTGTTTCCAATGTCCATAGCTTTTTCTTACATATTTTTTTACCTGAACTCTTGTTTCATTGTGAAACCTCAATTTTATACATTGATACAAAGAGTAAACTGCGGTCTTCACCCTGTCTACATTAGCCCTTCATCTCACTGTCTGGGATGTTTCTGAACTTCCCCATGCTCTGTGGAGACCTGTGCCATGTGGAACCTTCTCCACCATCAGATTCAGTGTCCATGGGCACCACTCTGGGTCTACGGAGCTCAGGAAAGACTCTCTTTCCCTTAAGATCTGTTTCTTTAATAAAATCATGTTCCTCTGCCTTCCAAATTGTCTGTGGGTCAGCCCTGCCTCCGAAGAACTAGAGTGTTTGTCAAAACTCATAGAGCTACACACTAAAAGGGGGGATTTTACTGTAGGTAAATTGTACCCTCTGTAAACCTGACTTAAAAAAAAATATCCAGCCAAACCACACACATTGGGGTTTGTGGTTGCTCTTACAGCATTGTTTGCAAAATATTAGAAGCAACCCAAGTGTCTAACGAGGGGACTGGCTAAGTAAATTATGATACTTGCATATGATAATATGAGATGGCTATTAAAAAAGGACTAGATAGATCTATACATCTGCTGTGAAATATCTCCAAGATGTAGTATCAAATGAAGAAAAGCAATATTCCAAACACGTTTGCTCTCCCTGTATAAATGTGTGCACATGCATGTGTTGGGTTGCTTGGCGTATCTTGAGAAGAAGGCATACAGATTGCTGGGGTGGTTTCCTCTAATGAGAGGGCCTGAGTGCTGATGGCCAGGATAGGAGGAAAACTTCATTGGCACTGTACAGCTTTTTTGCATTTAAATTTTTTTTCATTGTGCATAGATCATCACTTCAAAAGATAGATAAAAATAAACTGCTTTGACATAAATAAACAAACAAACACAAGCCCACAGGGCCCAGGAACTGAGTGGCTTTGGCCTCCAGCCTGATTGTTTTTGTTTCTCGTTTTCAGGCCCATCCTCGGAGCCGAATCACTCACCCACCAGCAGCGGGAAGAAGCTCTTTGCTCCTGTTCCATTCCCTTCGGGCTCCACCGAGGATGTGTCCCCCAGTGGCCCCCTGCAGCCTCCGCCTCTGCCCCAGAAGAAGTTAGTGAGCCGGGCGGCCTCGTCACCGGATGGCTTCTTCTGGACCCAGGGCTGCCCCAAGCCGAGAACGGCAAGCCCGAAGCTGAACCTCAGCCACTCGGAAACCAACGTCTGTGCTCATGAGGACTCCCACTTCAGCTTCTCCTCAAGCCCTGGGAACCGCCTCCATCATACTTTCTCCTCCTCTGAGCCTCTGGAGAAAGCTTTCAAAGGCAATGGCCACTGGGCCCCAATACCGGGGCTGGCCGGCAGCAAAAGCAGCAGCGGCAGCGGCAGCCCTGGCCTCCAGTGCAAAGGGGTCCCATCGTCCTCCCAGCTGAGCATGTCCAGCCAGGCCTCCACCAGCAGCACCCAGCTTCAGCTCCACAGCCTCCTGAGCAGCATCAGCAGCAAGGAGGGCACGTATGCTAAGCTGGTGGGGCTCTATGCCCAGTCCCTGGCCCGCCTCGTGACCAAGTGTGAGGACCTCTTCATGGGTGGCCAGAAAAAGGAGCTGCACTTCAATGAGAATAACTGGTCGCTCTTCAAGTTGACCTGCAACAAGCCCTGTTGTGACTCAGGGGATGCCATTTATTACTGTGCCACCTGCTCCGAGGACCCTGGCAGCACCTACGCTGTGAAGGTAGGTACAACCCTTCCTTTCATGCTGCAGTACAACCCGCTCCTCCTGCTTTGCCAGAACTGTGGCTTGAGCAAGTCATGCCACCTCTCCAGGCTACACGAAGAGGGTTGAGTCCTAAGGGTTCTTTTAACACTTAACGCTCAATGATTTCACTCTCTGCCTGGCCCAGGACATGGGCCAGTGAGATTTATACTATGAATAGAAGATTCGTTCTGTGCTCTCAGGCATGAATTTATGTGAAATAGAGCAGGAAGGAGAGTTAGACTTAGGCATCATATTGAACAATCGATTGATCCTTCAACTAGACTCCTGGCTGAGTGTAGTAACTATAACTACATGACCTTGAACCCTCACAGGGTAGGTAGGTTTTACAAATGGGGGATCTGAGACTTACAATGATTAAATAATCTGCCCACAGCTAATTGGTGGCAGAGATAGGTTTGAACCCGAGTTTGTCTGTCTCCAAAGTCTACATTCCTATCAGTTAAGAAAAATGAAGTTCAGAGAAGTTAAGGGATTAATCTAAGGTAACCCAGCTCTTTAACCTTTGACCCTAGAGCAGAGCTATTGCTGCCAAACCCCACTGCTTTCTCAGATCAGGGTGAAGCTCTGAGCGAGCTGGTTGAGCGTCTGCACCCATCTGTCCACTCTGGACTTTGCCACTGACTCGAGACTTTCCTTGTGTCCCCCTTTCTCATCTTCTTTTGGTGTCCCTTGAATATCTATGGGTCTGTGGCCCTTCTATAAATGCAGGCTTTTGTGAGGGGTAAGGAGGAGAACTTGGAGCTGTCTTCTGCCATCACCTATCCCAAGATATTCTTTTATTTCTAGTTAGAAAAAATGTAAACAGTAAACTAATGTGAAATGGCCTTGGTGGGGTAGCTTCCTGCTTACCAGCGAAAAATTTTTAAAAAATATTATGATTATCAGCCAAGGAGAAGTGCAATGAATTTTACTTTGAGGCTTTTCTTTAAAGAAATTGGTGACACAACCATAAAATATAGATTGGTAACCCCTGATCTCTATATTTAAGGGTCTATATATAATTACTTGCTGCCTTCCTATGGGGGGAAAAAACTAGGGAAGGGGGTGGCTACTAGGAGGATTCAGTTTACTGTACAGAAATCAAGGCCCTGAAAGACTAGGAAGTGTGGCCAAGATGGCAGGCACCAGAGGAAGAAAACACAAACGTCCGGAATGAGAGTCTGTGGATTTCCTGAATTTCGTTGCCTCCTTAATCTAAACCCAGCAGCTTCTCTCTTGGTAAGCTACCCTTCCCTGCCACTTCCCCAACCATGATTAGAAGAACAAAAGAAACAGCCGCAGCATTTCCCTTCCTATTAGGATGGTGCTATATCCAGTAAAGCAGGGAGTGAGCGGATCCTTCAGTGAGCTGAACACAATGAGCCTGTTATCATGGTCAGCCCAGAGCCTGTGTGCATCCAATAAAAGGGGCGCAGATGTGAGATCCTTGAAAGCCAAGGGGATGGAGGTGCCTTCGGAAAGTTCTTCATTTTTGCTAACGCCGTGAACCTGAGAAAGGGAGCTGGGAATCACTTCTCTGCTTTCACCTTCCTGTGTTCAAGTGCATCAGTCACTTCTCACTGGTCTCCTGGGCTGGGCTGAGAGCTCATTCAATGTCAAGAGACAGCCAACCCTCCATTTTGAGGGGAAAGAGCCTGGTGGAAGAGGCTTAATCCCTCTTGCCCATGGGGTGAAAGCGATGTGACCCCACTGCAATGAACTAAAGGGCCACCTGGGGCAATATCGACCATTGGATCAGGACCTCGGGGCAAAGGGTTTGGGTTTTTATATTCCTAAGTGACTGTGATGTGCAGCTTGCATTCTAAGAGCTCCTATAATAATGTAGAATTAGCCACATTCTCTAAAGAACAATGCAGAGAGCTCAGCTTCCCCAGAGGATGTTAAAAACCAGCACTGCTCCTCATTTCATTAGAAATGTAAACCATAAAGAAACTGGAGGATAGGCCTTGGCCCTCTAAGGAACAGAGGCCCAGGGGTCTCCTTTCTGACTGTCAGAGACTTGGCCGCTGAAGGACCATTTCTGTACCATGTGAAAAGGAAATTCGGAGACGAGCTTGAAATACTCAGGAGTCTGGGGAACAACAATATCAATTTGCAGATGTGCCTGGCCTGGTAGTGGGGGGTGGGAGTGGGATGTGGCGCATCATTTCGCACGTGCAGCTGTTCCACTTCATTAGTTGTGCAGTCTAGACGGAGTACAGTCATCTGGATTCCGCAGGGGCGGGGGAGCTGGTCCCCCTTCCCACTGCCTGTCTGTTGCTGAGCTCATTTCATCTGTGCCTGGTAGGCGGGAGCCGAGGTTGCGAGTCCCCATTAACAAAAGCAAGTTCGCACCTGCTCCCCCTAACGCTGGGCCCTGGTTTGTGGGCTCAGCACCCTGCAGCAGCGAGGAGAGGAAGCCAGCTCTGGAGCCCTGCACCATGAATATGTGGCAGCAAAAATCATTAGCTGTGTGTGAGGTTTTGAAGCGGTTTCATTCCTTAGTCAACTAGAATTCCAGTTGGGTAATTAGGGACCTGTGTTGAGGCAGCTGGGCTTTTTATTTAACAGACGTGACTTAGCCCAGATTCTCAACCACGAATGAGGCCGTGGCTGTAAAGTTTAAAATGAGACTCGGCTCAACAAAACGTTTGAAATTTTGAGCAGAACCAAAGGTTTGTGTGAAGGTCTTGAGCCAAAACCTAAGCACAGACACCCTGTAAATGAAATGGGGAGAGGGGGTGGTGCTGAGGGGAGATGGTGATGGAGAGGAACCCTCCTGCTCCCCATCCCTGTCCTCTGTCCCTCTACCCTGCTGCTGTGCAGGCGGTGAGGAAGCTGCGGTCCAGCCAGAGGACAAGCTCACTGATGCTGGACCAGCTCACATCCAGTCCAGGTGCCGTTTACATCTCTGTGCAAACTGTCAGCAGCTCCACTGGAGCTCTGCTGGGAGTGTGTGCTGGACCCAGGCCTGTGATACCCTTGAGAAAAGGGATATACTTGGAAATATTTCCCAGGCCCCGGGCATCTGCACGGTAAGGGTTGGTACAAGAACCTAGAAGCTGGCAGCACCAAGCATGGCTGAAGCCAAACCTGCCTGAGCAATCACCATGGCAACCTTCCCTGGTGACTACTCTCCTGAGCTAGGTACTGTGCTGAAAGCCACACCTGTGTTGTGTCATTTAACGCTGGCAACGGCCCTGTGAGGAAGGAGCTGCCCCTGCCTCTGATATACAGAGGAGAAAACAGACTGAGATAAATACAAGTCAGTCCTCATTCACGGATTCTGTATTTGTGACTCTGCTGCTAAAATTTATGGTTAACTTCAAATCAATACTTGTGGCATTTTTGTGGTCATTCCTGAACTTGCACAGAGTGGGGGGAAATTTGAGTCACCCTTACATGTCGATTCCGAGCTGAGGTGGAACCAGGTGGCGCAGTACTGTGAACCGTATCCTTCCCGTGGTCTATTTAATGCCTCATTCTTCACATTTTTGTGCTTTTTGTTGGTGATTCTGCAGCTTGAAATGGCCGAGCTGAGTGCTCAAGTCCTATCTAGTGTTCTTAAGTGCAAGAAGGCTGTGATGTGGGGAGAGGATTAGATAAGTTTTACTCAGGCATGAGGTAGAGTGCTGCTGACCATGAGTCCAAGTGTTAATGAATCAACAATATCTATTCAAGAGGCATCTTTAAGCAAAAACACACATAAGACAAGGTTATATATTGGCGAGTTGATAAAAATGTGGTAACCAGAGGCTTGCAGGAACTTCACATTGTATTTCCCCCTAGGAGCAGTGGTTCAACATTCACTAATGTGGCTACTTAATAGAACATAACCACCACGAACAATGGGAATCAATTGTAACTTGCTAGCATTTGCCAAGTTTATATTTAAACCAAGGTCTTTTGCACTCCAGAGCCCACTTTGACCTCTAGCATACTTCTCAGTTGTATAATCATGGGCAAATAATTTAACCACTTGAAGCTTCAGTATCCTCCTCTATGATGGTATCTTCCTCACTGGTTTATTTGAGATTTAATAAGACACTGTGGGGGAGTATGCTGAATAGGCACAGTGACTCAGACACACAAAAGTTTGGAAGGTGTCTTGTGATTGAGAAGCCCTCACTGGAGGAGGGGTTGACCCTGACATCAGTAATGCTTTTCCCACATAGCCACAGATGGCACAACAGACAGGTTCATACACAGTGGTTGGTATTTATATGCAAGACTATTTTTTGAAGACCTCCCCAAATTTCCTTTAGTTGAATAGTGTTCCAAAAACCTACCATTTAAAAGCTGAAGACAGTTGGGTGGGCTAGAATAAGAAAGAGCCTGCAACCACGCCCTTTACATATGTATTCCAGAATCAATTTTGTTGGTATAATTGGAACCAATGTCTGGGATAAATGTACTTCCCTTTTATTCTTTTATTTCTATTTTACTTCTATAATAGAGAGATTACTAGATTAATGTGTTACCTCCCCTCAGCTCCCCCCCCCCCAATTATCTTGATAAAAGTTGCCTCAGAGGCTGAACTCTTTTATCCCAGGTTTCATGCTGAGAAGGTTTGTATAGCTGCAATATAAATAAAGCTCTGTGAAAAGGTGCTTGCAATGGAACTTCTAAAAACAGCACCTGTGAGCATTGTGGTGCTTCGAGAACACTGCTGTACTCATCTGAGTGGCAACGCAGCAGCCTGAAGGGTTATTTTGGGATTGTTTGCAGGATATTTCCTAGGTAGATGCGAAAGGCCTTTCTTCTCAGGATTACACGCTGATCCCCACCTTTCTATAAAGCATGGCTCAGGTTGCACAATATCCTTTTGAGAGAGGAGACCACAGACCATCTTCAGTCCCTTTCAGTGTCATTACAGGGAGACTGAGGCCCATGGTGTCTGGCTGCCCAGTTGTGTGGCAGCTAGATGAGGATTAGTGTTGCTCACGATCCTCAGGTGGCTGGCACTGTTGTCAGGACGAGGAGAAGGTGAAGAGGTGGGAAAGAGCCGGTTGTGGGGATTCCCCAGAGGAGAGTGCGCTCATCTGCTTGTTTATTCTTACCTTCAGTTCAGAGGGCGTCTTTGGCCCTCTGGGTTCCCTGTCCCTGGAGAGCTTTCTGTTTTCTTTCAGCTGCTCTGATTCACCCTTGGAGGAAAATGTGTGGCTTTCACATAGCAGTTCCACTAAAATCAGCCCTGCAGAGCGTGCCAGCTAGTAGGCATTGCATATTTACCTGCATCTAGAAACGAGGGCAGCCTAAGAAAATGTGGCTCAAGGCCTAGAGGTGTAAAGCCTGCACCTGCCCCTCATGTTCCCCAGGAAGGGAGTACTCCAGCAGTCAAGCTCATCTGCTCTCAGGTAGCTGCCGATTCAGGTGTGAGGAGCAGAGAGCAAAGCTGCCTGCCTGTGTCAGCGCTGATTTGGCTTCCTGAGCATTTGTCCAGCCCAAACTGGGGGCAGCGCAATGTCTTCCTGCCAATTCCAGGAGGCCACACTACATGTTGGTCTGCAGGGACCCCACTCTTGCTGGGTTGTGTGATAAGTTTATGTTTAGCTTTGTAAGAAATTGCCAGACTGTGTTCCAAAGGGACTGCACCATTTTACATTTCACCAGCAATATGAGAGGGTTCCCATCTTTCCACACTCATAGACACTGGTTGTTGTCTACCATTTTTCTTACAGCCACCCTAGTGGGTGTCAGCTGATATCTCAGTTGGTATCTAGTTGTATTTTCTTTTTACATTTCCCTAATGACTCATGATGTTGAACATCTTTTCATGTGCGTATGGTCATTTACATATTTCTTTGGTGAGATACCTATTAATATCTTTGGCCCACTTTTTGATTGGGAAGTATATCTTATGACTGAGTTGTAAGAGTTTTTTTTTGTAAACTCTAGATACACGTCATTTATCAGATGTGTTTTGCACATATTTTTTTCTCATTCCATTGCTTGCCTTTCTGTTTTCTTAAAAGAATCTTTTGAAGCACAAACGTTTTGAATTGTGATGGTGTCGAGTTTATCAATTCTTTCTTTTATGGACCATGCCTTTGTGGTGGTATCTGAGAAATCTTTGCTTAACCCAAGGTTTCAAAGACCTCTCTCCTATGTTTTCTTCTAAAATGTGTATGTTTGGCCTCTTACCCCTAAGTCTGTATGATCCGTTTTGAGCTCATTTGTGTGTATGGTGTGAAGTAAGGGTTTATGTTCACCTTTTCGAATGGGAGTTTCCAAATATATCACAACACCATTTGTTGAACAGAATGATGGCTCCCACTCTTGACCTCACTTTTCCTTTTCCCCACAGATCTGCAAAACCCCGGAGCCCAAAACGGCCTCGTACTGCAGCCCCTCTGTGCCTGTGCACTTCAACATCCAGCAGGACTGCGGCCACTTCGTGGCCTCGGTGCCCTCCAGCATGCTCACCTCTCCCGACACGCCCAAGGAACCCCTGCCTGCCCTGCCCGCTCACCCGCCTGCCCAGGAGCAGGACTGCGTGGTGGTCATCACCCGAGAAGTGCCCCACCAGACTGCCTCGGACTTTGTGCGAGACTCAGCCACCAGCCATCAGTCTGAGCCTGAGGTTTACGAGCGCCGCGTGTGCTTCCTGCTCCTGCAGCTCTGCAACGGGCTGGAGCACCTGAAGGAGCACAGGATCATTCACCGAGACCTGTGCCTGGAGAACCTGCTGCTGGCGCACTGCACCCCACAGGCCACTCCCGGCCCCGCTCCTGCCACCCCCATGCCCTCTGCCTCTTCTGCTTCCTCCAGCACCCTTCCCACCACCACATCCCCTTCTCCTGCTGCTACTGCTCCCCCGTGCCCCCCTGTCACGCTCCCAGCCAGTGTCACCCCCAGCCCCGCAGCGCCTCCCGCCTGTCAGGGAGTGCCCCGGCTCATCATCAGCAATTTCCTGAAGGCCAAGCAGAAGCCAGGCGGCACCAGCAACCTGCAGCAGAAAAAGAGCCAGGCCCGCCTGGCCCCCGAGATCGTGTCTGCCTCCCAGTACAGCAAGTTCGATGAGTTCCAAACAGGCATCCTCATCTACGAGCTGCTCCACCAGCCCAACCCGTTTGAGGTGCGCGCCCAGCTGCGAGAGCAGGACTACCGGCAGGAAGACCTGCCCCCGCTGCCCACCCTGTCCCTCTACTCGCCCGGCCTGCAGCAGCTCGCCCATCTGCTGCTGGAGGCTGACCCCATCAAGCGCATCCGCATCAGCGAGGCCAAGCGCGTGCTGCAGTGCCTGCTGTGGGGGCCGCGGAGGGACCTGGTGGAGCAGCGCGGCACCTCGGAGGACGCGCTGTGCAGCACGTTGCATAACTGGATCGACATGAAGCGGGCCCTGATGATGATGAAGTTTGCCGAGAAGGCGGTGGACCGCAGGCGCGGAGTGGAGCTGGAGGACTGGCTTTGCTGCCAGTACCTGGCATCCGCGGAACCCGGAGCCCTCTTACAGTCCCTGAAGCTTCTGCAGCTTCTATGAGTGCAGCCCCCAGCCCTGCACTTTAACTGCCCCTTTCCGTGCCTGACCCCCATACCCCACCTGGCCTCGGAAACACTTGCGTGTCCCTGGGAAATGGTACAAATGACTTATACTGGATGTAATATATATACATATATATAATATATAAATACGAAAGACTGGATATCATTGCTCACTTGGGCCTCCAGCCCCCCTCACGGGCTCCCAGGTTTCGCCCACAATTCTGTACGTTTCTAGCTCAGTGTCAGGTCCTGAGGATAGAGCTGCCACAGAATGAAGCTGGACTCTGGCCTCACTACCCCATCATGTGATCTCTTCACCCTCCTGTCAAATGCCTATTAAAAAAAAGCAACAAAAAAAAATCATTTTTCTTAATTTTTGATTGAGTCATGAGCAAAGCTCTTTTATCTCCAAGCACCAAAGTACATTAGCGTCTAAAATTGAATATAAGCCTCTGAAGCAGCGGCCAGCCTACTTGAAGTGTCCTTGGCTTTATACATCTCATGAGGTAGAGAAGTCGGCCACTGGGCCTGGCCTAGTCAGTACCCGTTAGTCTTCCCTGGCCTTCTTCCCACCTGGCAGGCTCAGGAAGAATCCAGACAGGACTATTGTGATCCCACAGGTTCGGAATTCAACCCCACTGCTCCAAACCATTTCCAGTTTGCCAAAGCTGGTTACTATTTGTATCAATCAGAGGCCTGGCTGAAAACAGAATCCTCCCCAAATGGTTCAAATGCCAAAACCTTAACAGGGACCATTTGGAAAGATATGGGCAGGGCTAAGAGAAAAAAAAAAAAACAAAGGAAGCTGAGGCAAAAAGCAAGGGCTGGCATGTTCACTCTTCCTGTTTTCCACCTGCCATTTCAGGAAAAGACCGATGGAACACCAGACAGCCAGGGGGCTTGGGTGATGCAGTGGGCAGATCAGCCTCCCTGGGCAGGGAAAGGGGAAGAATGGATGGGGTGCCAGTTGGCAAACAGCCCACAGTTCCTCCTGTACTAGATAATGGCAGTACAAGAGTAGAACTTGGGTGTTTCCACTCCCAGACCAGCACCCTGCTGTTCTAAGCTCTTTCACATTTCCGTTTTTAAAAACTCATACATTTAACACACTTATTGGCACCTACTACCTACTGTAGTCAGTATTTGTCACCATGCCGTTCAAAGTGCACAGAGAGAATTAGAAAGCACCAGAGCGTTCCTCCTAAGGACATACAAAGTCAGCAATGACTCATTGGAAAGGGAACAGCCCCAAGACCCTTGTAATTTTATCTAAAGGCTAATCTTCCAATTTGTGAACTAATTAATTTCTATAACCTTGTCAATAATTGTGGACAATCTAAAATAAATGCAGAGATTTTAATGGATGTCTTAGACATCTAGGAATGTGGCTGGCAACCAGGATGGGGGAAATCTCCCAAGTCCCCTTCTGCATGTTAATATCAATCCTTTGGCAAGCTCCGCCTTCCTGCAATGGACTATGGGTGAACACATCCACATTTCCACACATCAGCGGTGAAGACACGCTCATGGGGCACATTTCTTATTTCAGTTGTTGCCTGAGCGTTCAGGAAAAAAAAAACTGGTTAAAACCAGCTTCCAACTATGTTTGTACAAGAGAAAGAAAGAATCTTTGAACGTAGAAATCATAATTCTCCATAGGACCTGTCGTAGTTTCAGAGGGTATTATTTTGACCGTTGTTTGTTCCTGGGAATTTTCCAGGCAAACCCTCCACCCTGGATTTGCTGTCTTTTGCTTTCTTGTCCTTTCTTACGTTGTGTAAATAAACAATGGAGAGGGAGGAAACAAATATTCTGCCAGGGAAATGCAGGGCCATTTGGAAACACGTGTCTCAAGAGGCACATTTTAAATCTCTGAATTAATTGTACGTTTTTTATATGCCACCCACTTCAGAAAAAAAAAAAAATGAGGTTGTTAAAAAAAAGTTTTTAAGAACCAAAGTGAACCAAATAGTAAAAGTGGAAAGAAAAGAAACTATACCAATAAATTCTGATTGAGAAGAATGATAGCAATCAAGCATAAAACTTAACTTCTGAGCTTTCCGCCAACCTAGAAAAAGTAGAAGACAGCTGGTTGCAGAATTCTTTGTGTAATTTTAGTTCATCAGGAGGAAGAAATCTTTTCCTAGTGCTTGGTTCTGAAGGGAATTTGTCAAGGATTTTCTTATTTAAAGACATTGAGTAACGTCCTTGATATCAGTTTAAAAAAAAAGAAATAGAAAGATAGAAAGAAAAACAAGATTTTTCTAGATAAAGCAATTTCTTATATCCACCATTGGTGAAATCCAAGTGGGGAGTATATGGCTACAAATATTAGGTTTGGCAAACATCTTCAGTCACACTAAATTCAGGGGCTTAATATAACTCTTTTTTTGTTGCCTCAAAATACACCTGGAGTTGCGTGGCTTGATCTCACAGAAAGCTCAGCACTAAACAGATTCAGTCCAGAAACAACAACTAATTCCACAGGACTGAGGTTCAGAAATAAGCAGTGACCTTTGTATGATGACAGTCTCATAACATCTGGTTATTTAATACTCCTGGTATCTGTGAGTTCATCTCTCCTATTTTTTTGGCTTTAGACCCAACTACTGGTATTTAAATATCCAGTTTTTTTATTCTCTCTCCAGCTCTGAGTCAGGCCCCTGTGTCCTCTCCACATTTGTAACTTCTGTTCTTAGTGTGCCTTTCCCTTCATGCCAAGATGTGGATTCCTTTTTCTTCTCCTAAATTCTTTCCTGTAGGCGTTATGAAGCTGTACGTCTAAATTGTTATTTCCTTGCCAGAAGCAAGTACTTCGGGGATTATTTATTTATCATAACACATGGCTCAGATCTAAAAAGACAGGGCTCTGGGGAGCTGCAGGCACCACTCTGTGTAATATTTTCTGATTTTCAAGAGCTTAGGGCTGGAGAAAGCTCTTTTGAGATGTCCACATGTGCTCAAAACAATTATGAGGGTTTCGAAGAGGGAAGACACATTACTTTAATGGATTCTCTGAAATTTGTTTTTTAAATGTATAGCCAATAAATGAGGCAGCCCTTCCCCACTCTGTTGAATATCTACAAATCCTTGAAGATCTAAGGATAAGCCTTATTAAATCACATTAAAAATAGTAGATATGTAATGTAAAATCTGCTTGGCATATTTAAAAAGAGGGTAATGTAATGGAGTTGATTCATTAGAAAGCAAACTCTAACCCAACTGATGTCATTGCTAAAAATAAAAGACAAGAATAAAAAGTTTAGGGAAAGTTCCATGGGGTGAATGTCTTGACAAATTTTCTTTCTCTTCGGATGCTAATTAATGAGGGTAAGGTATAGCAAAGGAGACCTACTCCTGGCAGGAGATTTCCTAGGAGGACTCATGCCCTGGGAAGGAGGTTATGAGGGAGCCTTATGAGTCTGAGGAAAGTCTAAATTAACCCAAACATGATATTGATTTAGGGGGAACTTGGCTTGGGTTAGAACTTCCACGATCAACTTGGATCCTTACTGGATCCTGGATACTCAGTCTTCTCTGATCTGCATCTTTCTTCCTAGGACTTGACTATATCCATTCCAAGTTTCTGGAGTGGTGGAAGCAAAGTCAGATTTGCTCAAGAGTTTTCTGCATGCCAACAAGCCAACCTGGTATTGGACTATCCTAGTGGGGACCTATATTTATCATACATTCTGAATTTTCTGGATTCAAATCTTTCTGGATCCTTTCCCAGAAATAATTACAGCTATTTCCTACAAAAACACGTCCTGAACACTGGATGTGCTTAGACTAAGAAAACTTTTATGTATGCTATTAGGACATAAAGGTTATTTTACATTTTACTGACTTAATGCCTTATTGGGAATAATGATGCATGAAGGCAGGGTGAGGGAACGGAGCACGGAAGTCTAAGGAGAGAAGATAGGAGATGAGAAAGCAAGACTCAGAGAAACACCACCTGCCTCACCACCTGCCCGGATCCAGCCCTGATAATTTCCCACGACCCCCAAAAGGTTGTTCACTGGTCATTGCTGTAACAAAATACCATTGACCGGGTGGCTTATAAACAACAGAAATTTATTTCTCACAGTTCTGGAAGCTGGGACATCCAAGATCAAGGTACCAACAGATTCGGCTCTGTTGAGAGCTCACTTCCTGGTTCGTCAACAGCCAGTCGTGCTGTTTCCTCACATGGCAAAAAGGGCAAGGGAGCTCTCGGGTCTCTTATGAAGGCACTAATCCCATTCTTGCAGGCTTCATCCTCATGAACTAATTGCCTCTCCAATGCTCCATTACCTAGTACCATCACATTGGGGATTAGGTTTCAACATAGGAATTTGGGGGGACACAAACATTCAATCTATAGAGTCACACTTGTCAGCCCTTTACTGGGATCATACAAACACTTGTATGTCCATTTTAGTCTCAAAGATTTCCAGGGATGAGGAAGCTATAGAACTCTAGATTATGTAGCATTTCAATTTCAGAGTTTATAGCAGATTCCTTAAAATGTCAGAAGGATTTTATGTCCTTTGTTTACTGACCATTCTCATCATCACAATGATGGAGACAATTTTCAGTTCTCCTAAAGCAGTAACAGAGATTTCTTCGCCTTACCCCTCAGGCTTACTGTTTATTTTGAGTATGTAAAACATAACATGACACTAAAAGCCAAAACTATAGAAAAAAAAAAACACTCAGAAAAGTATCATTCTCCCATACCCTGTCTCCATTCCTCCATCCTTTCCACCCTGCTCCCTCCCAACCCCTGTAGAATCCAAACTCACTAATTTATTAATTCATTAATAAATTAATGCATCCAGCTTTTAATGCTCTCTCACTGGTATTGTTCTTTGGTTCATAAGACAACCCATTTTATTTCCAGTAGGAGATATGGACTGCTTTTCTTCCCAGATGGAAATCCTGAGGCTTGCCCCAAACAACAGCCAGTGTTGGCAGCAGATCCCTGAGTTACAGGATGAAATTCATCCTCAGGCCCTTACTCATTTCTGGAGTGATGCTGCTAGTACTTGTATTTGGAACCCAACACTTCTTTGATAAACTATACACCGATCCCTCACAGCAAACCCAACCTGGTGCCTATGGCCAGGTCTCCAAGGAAAGTACTTCCACATGATCTTCCAGAAAGAGTGTTTAAGAAAGAAAGAGATTGTGCTACTCCGTGACTTGGCTTTTCTGTGGCTCCAGTGTGGTCATTTCTTTCTCTGACTTTAGAGAGCTGCCATGTAAGCAACAAGGACTCCACTCACTGAAATGGTTTATGGAACTTACAGTTAACTCTTAAACAAAAGAAGCCTGATGCTGTTGGTCTTGGCTGAGTCCAACATGAGTCATGCACTGTTTCAAGTGCCCGATTGAATATGGATAGAATGAAGGGGTTCACTGGGTGCTTAGTCCAGTGGAACAGTTCCATGCAGAGAGAG